CCTTGATGGCATCGCCTTGGCCTCCAGCACCACTGTGAGGAATCTTGGAGTTATCTTTGATCAGGACATGTCGTTTAAGTCTCACATTAAGCAAATTTCTTTTCTTTTTTCACCTACGTAATATTGCGAAAATCAGGAACATCCTGTCTAAAAATGATGCAGAAAAACTAGTCCATGCATTTGTTACTTCTAGACTGGATTACTGCAATTCCTTATTATCAGGCTACTCGAAAAAGTCCATTAAGACTCTTCAGCTGATCCAGAAGCTGCAGCACGTGTTCTGACAGGAACCAGGAAAAGAGATCACATTTCTCCTGTTTTAGCTTCTCTGCATTGGCTTCCAGTAAAATCCAGAATAGAATTTAAAATCATTCTTCTTACCTACAAAGCTCTTAATGGTCAGGCACCATCTTATCTTAAAGAGCTCATAGTACCTTACTACCCCACCAGAGCACTGCGCTCCCAGAATGCAGGGTTACTTGTGGTTCCTAGAGTCTCCAAAAGTAGACTAGGAGCCAGAGCGTTCAGCTATCAAGCTCCTCTCCTGTGGAACCAGGTTCCAGTTTGGGTTCAGGAGGCAGACACCATCTCCACATTTAAGAGTAGGCTTAAGACTTTCCTCTTTGATAAAGCTTATAGTTAGGGCTGGCTCAGGTGAGTCCTGAACCATCCCTTAGTTATGCTGCTATAGGCCTAGACTGCCGCGGGATTTCCCATGATGCACTGAGCTCCTCTCTCCTCTACTTTCTCTCCCTCTGTATGCAACCTCATCCCATTATTGCATGTTACTAACACAACTTCTCCCCTTTCTGGTAGTCTTGTGCTTTCTCGTCCCTCTCCTCTCTCCTCCTATCACTTCCTGCAGGTTTTCTGGCTCTGGAGCTGTGGAGTCTGGATCTGTGGCTGCGGGTCACCTGCTGCCCCCGTGTTCCTGCTCGACACCCTCTGCTGCAACGACTATTGTTGCTAGTTTTATTGTTATTATTGTTATTATAATCATTAACATTACGATGGTTACCATTAACACTATTATAAATATCTGTACCATTTTTCATTCAGTCTATAGCAACATCACCTTCACTGTCTGTACCTCTGTGTGTATATTGTGTAGGCTGCCTCCCTCCCCTCTCTCTCCTTCCATCCCTCTTTTTCTCTCTGTTCCTCTCTTGCCCTCTCTCTCTCTCTCTCTCTCTCTCTCTCTCTCTCTCTCTCTCCCTCCGCCCACCCTGAGCCATGGTTCTGCTCGAGGTTTCTGCCTCTTAAAAGGAAGTTTTTCCTTGCCTCTGTCACCTAGTGCTGCTCTTGGTGGGAACTGTTGGGCTTCTGTAAATAACATCACAGAGTACGGTCTAGACCTGCTCTTTTATGAAAAGCGCTGTGAGATAACTGTTGTTGTGATTTGGCGCTATATAAATAAAATTGAATTGAATTGAATTGAGAGCAGGTGCAAACAGACGCAGGTGTTGCCAGAGGCGAAAACCCAACTAGTCTAGTTTTTGACCGCGAACGATGCGGCAGCTGTGGCTATTTGTGTGAAGTAGGGTATATTATGAAACTGTCGATGGAGATGTAATATTGTATCGTTATAGATGTTGAAGACTGTATGTGCAACAATGAATCATAGGCCTTTCACTCATGACAGAGAAGAAGCTGAACTCCTGTTACATTCTTTCTAACCAAACAAAACGCCCACGGTAAGCTGCGTCAACCCTCTGTGTAGCCCTCAGCTGCTTTAAGCTATAAGGTCTGGAGGTTACAAAATAAAATCTATAGCGGCTGTAGACAACGCAAAACAAAATTTGCAGCCGCGAGGGACTAAACAATGAGAGACTGAAAACACCGTGACGCGCAAAAACTAGGTTCCACTCAACGATCCAAGTTCAAGCATTTATTACACTTCAACACATAAAAAATACAACTGGCACTGCAGTTACCAAGTCATAAAACTTTCTGTGTGAGTGCGGTCAACAGTATGCCTTTTCCATGTGTTTTTATGATTAATAAAACTGCAAAGGTGAAATAGTAATTTATCATCAATTATAATTTTAATGCACAATTGCTTATACAGCCACATAACATTTAACATTTGGAACAGTGACACAGATGATGGCCCATTTTAGCTCAGTGGGTTAAGGTTAATTGGGCCGCCAAGAAAAACATCACTTTTAAAAAAAATATGTTCATATACCAAACTAACAACATTATTTCTGATTGATGCCATAAAGACAGATATTATGCATAGTTTTTTTATGTGCATGTTTGTTGTTTTTTTATAGATTTATCATCCTTATAATAGTTTAATTAGATTTGGTATGTCAGGCTACTTACCATGCAGCTTTCTGGTGTAGTCTTTATTTGAATTTATTTGAACCCTAACCCTAACCCACCATAGCAACCATAAAACAATCAAATCACCTGTTTCTTGTCAAGCACAGTTATGACAACAGTTTGAAATCCTTTGCTCTAAATCATTTGCAGTCATTGGCTCTAAATTCCAGAGGGGCTGGGACCCCCAAACCTTAAATGGCCCATTTTACCTGACATCACCCTATCACTTCCGCCCATAACCCTGGTGGACACGCCCACTACCTACAATCCGAGTGCAGTGAATAATATGAATGAGGCCATAAACATAAAACACATGGGAGACTTACAGGTGGCTCCTACAGAATCAAAAATGCAAAACATCAGTTTAAAGAAAGCCAGGGAACATAATTCATGAATTACAGTATGAGGTAAACTAATCCAAAATTTAGGGGCATTCGGTCCCCTTCAGATTCTGCTGAGCTCTGGGAGACACTTAGCAAGTGTTCAGTGGCTCCACCACTGTAGAGCCAGACTAACTTATTTACTGTAAAATAAACAGTAGAAGGTAGCTATATACTAAGAGCATAATGAAGGAGAATTGTAGCTAAACATTGCTGACACGAAACAGGGAAGCAGCAGCCTCGATGACTGTTGCTCAACATGGTGGACTGAATGTATAATTTAAATGATCTACAATGATCTGTTGATTTCAACAAGAGGTCTGAGTGAAAGGAGCTGTAGGGGTCGACATCTTCTCCTTCATGCGGAGACAGCAGATAGATTTAAATCAACATACTGTAGTCATTTGCAAAAGTGATTTATTTAGTTGCTACAGAATAAATAGGTACAAATGTTGTACAAATTAAATTATGTAATATACAAAATCATAATGCCTCTAAAACAGAATGAACAAACATGTTGAGACTCACAGCTTAAAAGCAAAACACAAGAGGTAAAACTAATAAAAAGTGCAAGAAGTCAGAAAACAAGAGCAACATGTATTTCAATGTTTCAAAGTAAAAAACAATGAAACTATATAAAGCATAACTTCCGTGGGCGCCAGGTGCCCTGCCTAAAGGCCCGTTCACATTTGATGTTCAGGGAGTGGAAAGCTTAAGATTAAACTTCAAAAACAGTTTATTTCCATGTAAAGTAAATTTAGCTCTGAAAGTGTCAGACAGCTGCAGGTTGAATTCTGTATTTTAAGGTTTCACAAATATACCCAATCACACTGTCACTGGGGAAGATTTGTGGGCTCATATTTAGTCATTGTGAAAAAATAAATAAAATAAAACAGAAGGGTCATTTTGAAAATAAATAACCATAAAAAGGTTTCATAGTAGGAGGTATGTTGTAATAAATATTTACACTCATGACTGATCTCTACAGAATAACTAGTTTGTTTTTAAATGTTTTCAATTTAGAGAAGAGTAAAACACTGACGTTACAACAAGGCTCATTTTATAATCAGGAGCCGGCTCCTGATCACCATGTTCGTGGTTTACGCCACCTACTGATATGCAGTCTATTAAGTAGGCCTACAGTTAAGTAACATTTGGAAAATAAGTTCATTTGTGAATCGTATAGATCAGTCTCAAACAAAACAGGGTTCTCACAGTTATCCTCCTTCGGGGCAGGAGAGCCCGACGATGAAGAAAGGCTTGGCACTTTTATTCAAAGTGACTTACAATTACTACGTACATGTCAGAGGTCGCACTCCTCTGGAGCAACTAGGAGTTAGTTGTCTTGCTCAGGGACACACTGGTGGATGTGTCAGTGGGAATTGAACCTGAGTCTCCCACAAAAACAGGCATGCGTCTTATCCACTGCACCATCACCACCCCTTCTGTCATCTTTTTTGTCCATCATGTGTTGCTTTGAGGTGAAATAGCTGTCATCTCTGGCTGCCACTGAAAGAGCTGAAGATGACTGACGAGGTTTCAAATTTGAGCAAACTCTAAAAAAATAAATATTAAGTCTCTCTCTTAAAAAACTAAGTCTCAAATCGATCCTGTCACCAATGACTTGTTGAGAAGAAGTAGCAACTTCCAGTTCTGAAAAGTGAAGCCAATGTGAAGGTGCCTTAAAGCTGCATTCTTTATAACGTGCAGCAGGGGGCGACTGCACTAGTTGCAAAAAAGTCCGATTGTATAGACGTCAATGAGAAAATGAGGCTACCTCTCAACTGATTTATTCAGTAAAAATTTTCCTAGTGAGTTAATGGTCTTTGTCGCTAGTTTCAAGTCTTCTTCAAAACAGTATGATGTTCATTTAGTAAATTATGGTCCCATTTAAAGGGAAATATAAAGCATGGGGATGCTTTAGGAGGGACTACCTCGTGATTAACAAGTCGCTATAATGGTGACCTGTCAATCAAGCTAGAGGCGATTCGTGTCCACTGCTCTGTGTAAATTTAACCAGCGCTGATGAAAAAAAAACCTAATCAGGAGTCGTCTTTTTTTCCCCCCGGTAAGTACATTTTATTTTAAGCCTGTTCTTCACTAGGCAAAATGTCAAACTCGAGGCTTCAAACCAACAGTGACGTCACGGTGACTACATCCACTTCTTTTATAGAGTCTGTGGTTGAGAGAAGAGGACAGTTCTGGCACAGTTCTTCTGCAGGCAGTACTTTCCACAGTCTGACCCAAACGTGTTCAGCAAGAACATCCACAAATTTAAAGAAAACTTTTTCCCAGGACGTCTGATGCAGCCACGTCCCAGAGTTTGAGGTGAGCTGAGGATGAAGAACACACAGAGCAGAGGCCATGAGTTGTTTCTGCACCAGAGCCTTAATTCAACATAACCACATTTCACTGCTGATAAACCCACGTACAACATAAACTTCTCAAACATCTGCAGGTTAACAGATTAAAGCTCCAGAGTTTATTTGACTGCACGTCCAGTGCAAAGTTATGGATATAAAGTATTTCTTTATGAGCAACTAACTAGAAGCCACATTGGATACAAAAGACTCAAAAAGCAGACCAGCTTCACCTTCTTCTCTTAAGAAAAGCTGACCGAGAAAGTAGAAGAGGCTCTTAAAAAAGATCCATTTATTGCACTCGTAACAGATTTTGCACAAAAATAAATACATTATTTGTGTGTCTGAGGAGCCTCTTCTGCTGTTTCTCAGCAGGGGTCAAAGTTCATGATCAAACCAGACTCACCTTCATTCTGATGGTAATCTGTGTCCATCATGAAGAGCTCCCTCCTGCTGATCCAGTGGGTCCACTTGTGGCTGGAGGTGATGCTGGTCTGAATCCCTAAAGTGATGAGGAAGATCAAAGAGAGGGACGTGTAGAACGCTCTCGTCTCCGTTAACATCAAATACCAACGAGCTCTTGAGCAAGGCACCTAGACTGGAAGTGGCCTTTCTGGGGTGACGTCATACTTTGGCGGCTGGAGGGACAAGTTTAATAATCAGTCAACTGTCTCCAAGAAAAGTCTGGTCAGATTTACACAACGTGATCAGTTTCCTTCTGACTCACATTTAGTTTTTGAGGCTTGTGTTTAATCACATATCCAGCGACGCCACCACAGACTCCCAGGACCAGTAAGACACACACAGCTGGGATCCAAACGCCCTGATAGGATCGACCACCTGATGTGAAAAAAGACAGAGGCAGAAGTTACAGTAACTGAAATACAACAGATACACAAATCTGAGTGTGATTCAGGACTAATAATGTTAATTCTTTCTCTCCTCACAGAGTTGAACCGTCTCCTCACCTTTAACATGAGTCTCCTCATTTGGATCAGGAGTTTGGACATTTGTGGGAAGCAGCGGCGTCTCTGTCGTCGAGGATTTAACAAAGTTTGGATCTGAAATTAAAGATTTACAACACATTAAAAAGAAACAACCATTATAGGAGAATGGTCACATAAGCTGTTGACAAAATGATCCTTTAACTTCTACAGATGTCTGTTTTTGACCTGTGTGCAGAAATCGTCTATGTTCACTACATTTTGACAGTAAAGTTCTGCCTTGTGTTGCAATCTGGACCATCAGCATCTAAACAAACTCACCAACAATAAGTAGAATAATCGACTCCTTCACTTGGCTGTTTAACTTGGGGATGAAACATTTGTATCTCCCTCCATCAGCCTGTGTTACGTTGGTGATCTTCAGAGAAATGTTTCCACGTTTCAGTTTGTCTGTGAACAGCATCGTCCTGCCGAAGTACGACTGGAGCTTCATGTCCAGGTTTTCACGTCCGTCCCTGTAAACGTGCACGTAGTCGACCCGGCTCAGACGATCAGAGGGGTCGGGCTTGAGATCTGGCTTCGACCACTCCACCGTCAGATCCTCCACATTGTAAGCAGGATCCAGGTGGCACGGCAGGATGACATCATCACCCGGAGCAGCGATGATTGGCTGAAGTGACCCGATCACACGAGGCTGACCTGGAAAAATGAGGCAAATTTAAACCTTGGACAGACACGATTTTTGACTCTTTATTGATTGTATAAGATTGTACATGATTATTATTGTGGTTATGTATACAGTATTACTTATACATCTACACGCTACCTGATTCCACTTTTATGCCAACACGAATTTCCCCTACGGAGAATCAGTAAAAGGTATATTTTATCTTATCCTATATTATAAGCGGTGCTAATAAGGAAGATTTTAATGTAGTGATAGGATTTAAAACTAGAGCTACAACTAACAGTTATTTCCATCAGTGATTAATCTGTTATTTTCTGGATTAATCAGTCTAGAAAATGGTGAAAATGTAAACTACAGTTTCCTAAAGGCAAAAGTATTTCAAACTCTCTAAAAGCTTGTTTTATAAACCAGAAATATTGTCTGTTTATTGTCAAATAAATAACAATTGAGAAAGAGATCATGAGTTTTGTAGTCATGACTTTGCCAGTTAACAAAGCACAAATCTTTTCATGGAAAATTGAGATAAAATATCTGACATAGAAGAACAAGGGGTCTCGAGCTGAATAAACAACATGACACAAACAGCGTGACAAACGTTTTCTGCGTCTGCGCTGTTGTTGATGTGAAGTGGTGGATTTGTGACAGTATTCTCATTTAATTATATTTTAAGTCAAATAATAAATCTCACACTGGAACCAAAGTTGAGTCCTGACATGAGAACAGGCTTTATGTTTCCTGATTTCAGTTTAAACCGTCCTGCTTATCAGGATGTTGGATGTCTCCCAAAAGTTTTGAAAAACAACCACAAGATGTCCTTTTGTTTGATCACACTATTCAAACTGTGGCACGTGAGCAGCTGACTGACCACTCATTCTTAACCAGTTAGTTTAAAATTGTGATAAACTGATGAATGATTTAACACTCATTTTAAAACACTGAGTCCTTTATATTTGTATCAGTCCCATGAAATGATTCATGTGGCAGGAAAAGCACCTGAATGTTTACAGGTGACTCACTTACTGAATCATAAAGTTCCTCTTTCCCACCAACTTGAAACCAAATTCAAAATTATGAGTAACAAATCTGGTCATGTGAGTGAAACGCAGGTGTTTGTTTGTTTTCTTTTAGCCTACAGGTCAGTGATTTTTCTGTGTTGCTCTAAAATCAATCAAAACTGTCTTGATTTTTAGTCACGAGTAACTTAACAGCAGCAACTGTTTGTTATGTTACGTGTGGTTCAGCGGCTTAAACAGCAATCAGCAGCCAATCAACTTAATTAATAATAAATGATCAATATTAGATAAATAAATGAACAACATTATAACGTTAGTTTTAAAGTTACTTAATATAACAATTATTTTCAACTCACATTTCAGTTCATGTTGGCTACACTAATGGATACAGTCGCTATTTAACTTCTTTTTATTAACTGAATATCGCTCGACATTTGACTGAATGAATGAATGAATGAATGAACTAAAGGTGCCGTTAACTCTCGTAACGTTAGCGAAACATATGAACTCACCTTCAACAGGCTTCGTCCAGACAGCCGTACTCAAACATACAGCGAGAGTCCAGAGTGGAAAAAAGGTAAAACCAGGCACGGAGCTCCCGAAGTGAGCCATAAAAACAGCTGAGAGTGAGACAAACAAACAAACAAACAAACAAACCCACCTCCTGAAGTGAGCTCGACTGCTGCTGCGCTGTCACTCTCACTCTACACAGCAAGGGACTACGCGTTGACGTCACGTGATGACGTACTGCTTTCAAACCACAGTGACGTGTTGTGCTTTGATAAGATTCATAATTAGCTCAAACTCATTAAACTGGTGATTCATCAGCACGTGATGATGAATCACCAGTTTATGACTCAGGCATAACTTACTCCAAGAATGTATGTTTTATAATATCCTTTCAGTGTCTTTTATGTAACGCTTTAGTCTGCCTCTTCTGTTATATTATTTTCTTTCATTGGACACTCCAAATAATAAATCATTTAAATTATTTTCTGTTTTTTCACGTTACTTGAGAGCAAACTCAAAAGTCAAAAAAGTTTCAGAGGGTGGTGTGATAGCAAATATATTGATCATTTTTAATGATTCATGCCGTGACGCTGAATGTAATAGTCAAAGCATCTCTGTTGTCTGTGTCTCTAAGAGATCATAACCGTGACCATGGATAAATCACAGGCTCTCAGCTCTCCTCACTCATTCGAGCACAGGCTATATCTGGGCTACAGAGAGAGCTTGCCTCACAGATTTTTAAAAAAATATATGAATTGCCATCACAGTGGTAAACTCAATTATCAGTTGACATTGTTTAAACCAAAACATACATTTATGTAACTTATGTTTTACTCTAAAGCTCTACTCTCATCACACCCGTGTTCTTCTCTCTCACTTGATCACTTTAAAGTCACAATACCCGCCTATTGTGTGGCGGGACTCAGGAAGTTGATGAACAAAACATTTTTCATTTTTCATAAACATGCACAGTAAACTAGTATTTCTTTAATTTGTAGTGATTCATGTGCCCCTCTGTGAGAAGCTGTTCTTCCCGACTTTGGTGCGATCATGAGCTTTGTGTGTCTGATTGATGGGTTGTTATGTACGGTAGCCTATGTGATGCTGTTATCCAAGTGTGCTGACCAGTTTGAAGATTAGTGATTTTGTTCCACATTTGGTGCTGCACCAGTAGACTACATTCCTTAAAACCACTAAAATATTGCTTTACCTGACTTGTGTAATGGGAATTCCAAACATATTGCATGTAACCCTGGACTCAGGGAGACTCATCTGTGATGTGGCACTGAATCTGTGTAAACATAACAGTCAAAATATCTCTGTTCTCTGTGGTATCCAGACTTCAGGGACAATGTGTCTCTGTGGGATGATAAAATTGACCCTAAAGCTGGATAAATAACAGGCTCACGGAGCTCTCCTCACTCATTCGAGCATACATGTACACGGCGTTTGTGTTTTGCTGTGAGTCCTTCTGCAGAAGACTTGAATAAAACTCACAGAAAGACAAGTGTTTGCCTGAGCTGTTTATTTAAACACGCAATTCCCACCACACTTGTTATCAGAGTTAATGCTAATAAATAATAATAAAAAACTATTAATCTAAACTTTTATGCAACAACTGAATTAATAAAAAAGACTTTACTTTGTGTAGCCTACCAAAGTTTTCGCCAACTTCCTGAGACTTGAGCGGGCAAATTCAAGTTAATTTTTCCAGACAGGAACACATTTTTCACATTATTCTGACACCACACCACATGGATGAGGTATTACTGCGAAATTCAAAGCACTATGACACAACTCTTGGGAGGCCCCTAGTAAACCCTTGTAATTACTGACAAGGCCAGACAATTCCTTACACTGTATAAAATAAAACCAAAAGTGAAGTGCCTTTGTTTTCATGTGTCACAGCTCTCATGCTGCAATAAGGTGAAATAGGTGCAGAGGCGTTGCACAAAATTCTGGGCCCCATACATAAACAGTCTCTGTGGGCCCACTTCCTCTCTTGGTTCATGTCTCTCACACATCCTTTAAAAAAATGTTTATAAATCATTTAACTAACAGCTGTAAACATGAATCTGTAGTGGTGATAGTAACTGATGAACTGTTCATACCACATTTAAACAAGTAATAATAATGTGGAACATGCAGGAGTGATATTATATTATTATTATTATATTATATAACTTATAGTTATATTTCACGCCACTTAGTCTTTACTGACTTATACTGTGCAAATATGGTGTGAAATTTTACGCTGATAGCCGGCGTCAGACTGAGCTCAGCAGGGGGGCATTTATTTTCAATGAGTGGGCACTAGTGATGGGGAATTACTTGAGGTATCCCATAGGCCTAGTTAATATTGCTACTGTCTTATTTGTAAGTGATTAGCCTGAAGTGATGCAAACCAACTCCTCCTAAACTGCCTCTGAGCACCTTTATAGGCTATTATAAACAAAGTTAACAGCAGTCATGTAGTTTAACTGCCATCTCACTGACAGAGAGACACATCTTGATTCTAGTTTGCTCTACCATAAGCGTTTACACTAGGCTACTACTAAAAAAGCACCATGTACCATTATCAAAACAATATCAAACACACTCACAACATACACAAAGATGATTCTACAATCTCCGTTGTCAAAAAGGAATAAAACAGATGTTTCTCCACGGCGGGAGGGACATTTCAGGACAACGGACAGGCAAAATGGTAATAACTGAACTAGCATTAATAAGCTACGGTCATAAAACATATAGCCTACTTACAATCATTTATGACCATTGATGTACCCCACAAACAACACTACTATAGCCTTTGAAAGCAGTTTTTGGAGGTCTCGGCAAGCAGGCAGAATTCGGGCTGTCCTCATCTTGCTGTAAGGGGCCAGCAGACTCGTTTATCCACGTGTGAATGTAGCTATATAGGCTTCAGTCACTTGAGATTCATAGTTAGGGTTTATAGGTGTGGATGAAGTCGCTGGGGTATGGAACTATTTTCTAATGTCCACTTTGGAGTGTTTTGAGCTGCTTGCTTTGGTGTGATGTGCACTGCCGCCAGGAATCTCCTGCTAACTGAAACTCATTTCATGCCCGTACCAAAGTGCAAGTTCGTTGGGAGGGGGAAAGTAGGGGGGTTTCCTCACAGAGCCACACCGAATTTTACGTTAGCTTTAATATATTTTCAACTAATTAACTGTTTGTAAATGTATATTTTATTGCTCATTGAAATGTAAATTAAATTAAAATTATATTGTTTTGTAAATTATCATAAGTCTGTTCCCATAACGTCGACTCCGCCTTATTGTAACCCAAACCATGATGTTTTGAGTAGTGTAACTAATGTTATAGCCACACTATGCTAGTAGCTTAGCTAGCTACTCACCCTTTGGCTTACTCTTACCTTAACCATGACAGGGCTGTGTGTCTACACCAAGCGGGAAGCTTCCGGTCTACAATAGGAAGCCGATGCGGAAGTCCCTGAAACCTGCATTCTAGTGAAAATCCAGCAGGGGTCGTCTCTTCTGGTTGCAAAAAGACTTCAATACTTTCCTGATGAGTTTATGGTCTCAGTCGCTAGTTTCAAGTCTTCTTCAATACAAAATGATGCTCATTTAGTAAATTATGGTCCCATTAATTTTAAAATAGACTACAAAGCAGAATATGTTTCTGGGCGGGATTATCTATGATTGACAAGTCATTACCATGGCGACCTGTCAATCAGGCTAGAGCCGACTCGTACTCTCAGCACTGTGTAAATTTAACCAGTACCATTGAAAAAGCTTATTAGGAGTTGTCTGTTCACTTTCTCTGGTGAGTACATTTAATTTTAAGACTGTTGTTCGCTAGACAAAATTATCAGCCCTATTAAAATGACAGTTAACGTGAGTTACAGTTGCACCTAGCTAAGCAAGCTAGGTAGCTCCACACACAGCCGTTAGCTCCGCTGTAGCGTCACTTCCAAGCACTTCCTACAAAAACACGACATGGCGGCGCCCTATCGGCCAAACTCGAGCCTTCAAAACGGCGGTCCACAAACCAACGGATGACGTCACGATGACTACGTCCATTTCTTTTATACAGTCTATGGTCTACACCTAAGTGAGTTATTTACATTTACATTTACTCATTTGGCAGACACTTTTATCCAAAGCGACTTACATTTGAGGAACAACATACAATCATCAACAAAGCATCAAATACGAGAACTACAACGGACGATAAATACCAGTAAGAGCTAATAGCATGGATGGCATCAATGGGGTAAATACGTAGGGAAAGAAGTAAGAGTTAACAACAAGTGCAAGATAATTGTAGGGGAGAGAAGAAAGCTACTTTCTGTCATGTCAAATGACATTTTAGCAATGATGTTGATTAATTTATGATGCTGATAATAATTTATTTTCCAGCATACAATACAAATATGCATCAAGCTAGATTTCTCTGACTGCCTTGAATCTAAACTGATATTAACTTAAACCATTCTGTGTGTTAGTAGTGATATGCTCACATTTCTTTTGTAAGAAATTAGTTGGCAGTTGTTTTCTTTCCCTTTCGTTTCTTCTATTACTTTACTTGTTACCCTTGATTTCCCTTTCTTGGGGAAAGAAATGACACACATGTCACAAGGCACGATGATGCTTCAGCATCAGCAGTCACTCGCTTGATTAGCCCATTTAGAGGTGAATCCTAGTGCTGGGCAAACTGAACTATTTGCGTCTTTTGTAAACTTGAGAGGGGCTTTGGAGAGCCACCACATTTTTTTAATTTTTAGTGGAGACACAAAGTTTTTACAGTCAGTTTTTACTTATGACACTATCGCCTGTAATGAGCTTGACTGGAGCTGGACGACTGAATGAATACCTTTCACTTCACAGCTTTATAAGGTTGATGTAACCACGCATGCACTGACGCAACACGTTGTGTCTCAGAACAGTATGAAGTGATAGGCTACATAATGGTGCAATAAAACTGCCATTAAAACTTACATATTAGTTGAGAGCAAACCCTCCAGTCAAATCTTAAATTCATACAGGCCTAGTTAGTCTAAGAGGGTGGGGAACTTGAATCTCAGACAAAAATTGTTAACAAACCAAAACAAATGAACTGAACTTTAACTTCAGTGCTTTTGTTTGTCACGCCTTTGTTCTTTTCTG